AGCCCTCATCTATAGCTCTATAGGGCTAAGGACGGGAAATGTGTCTTTACACAAAGAGTGGTGGGTGTCTGGAACAACCTGCCAGTTACAGAATTAAAGCCGATTTCCCTTGGTGCCCTTTCTGGAAATTAGTGAATGGAGAAAACGGCCCCTCTCATTTGCAAGTCTCACTTTGAGCTTTTAGTTATGTGTGATTTTATAAACTACACTCCTGTTGTGTCTATTTTAATAACGAGTCCCATCAGAAATTAACAGCTGCAGGTGCATGCAACACTGAAAACTAAAAAAAAAAAAAAGAGTAGTAAATGAGATTTGCGTTGTGTAGCTAAATGTGGGATAACATTACTCCATGAAATGCAAATCATTTTTGTGTGGACGTTTTTCCAGGTCCTCTTCGGTAAGCCTTGTCAGGTTTATATAAAAAATATGCAAGCTCCAAGATCAGACGAAAAGCATTAGTAAAGATGCTGTACACCCTGTATGACTGAGGTGAATGGAAGGGGTGAAGAGGGCAAAAAAAAAAGACTACACTTCCCAAAATGCCCTTGGGATTTCAGTGGGCCAACAATGAAAAAACCTGAGTTTAATTGGTCACACCAGCCCCCTCATAAAGAACTCCCCTTCATGAAAGGGATAGGGCAAGTGTCTATTGAAAGGAAAATTGCGTGCAACAAATCCCACTAGTAACCTCAGATGTCTGAATACTAAAATTTCGAAAGAGCTTTGTTTTTCCACGGCAGAATATTTAGCCATCTGCTACACAGTGGGGGGGAGACTGTGGCTCCAGGCAGAATTAGGAATTGTTGTGTGTTGGCCAGCAGCACGCGAGAGTTAGCATTTCTAACAGATGTCACCACAGAGCAGTGGGAATCGGAGCAAAGTCGCCCAAGGACCTCAAGCCTCCCCCTGTGCAGTCTGGGAAACAGCCGTTACAGACGTCAAGTGTCAGAACCAGTATCGTCGTGGAGAAACTGGCACAGAATAACAACAGTACTTTATGA